TATAGCAGAGGTTGGCATTTATTTAGCTTACACTGTCCGAAAAGGCGGCAACAGACAGGAACGGGAAGCTTTTCGGAAATCAATTTTCTCAAGGTTCCCTATCATAAAATTTTAAAAAATACATGAAGAGGAGAACGCAAAAATGTCATTATCCACAGGCCCCGTCATACTATTGGATAATTTGAACCATAATCTGAATTTATCTCAGGGGTATTAAGCAGGGGTTAAAACATGATCAAGCTCAATAAGCCAATGTCGCAACACAACCATACTCACCAGATCACGAATCTGTTGACAATACTCATCTCAGAACTACTGTCTGGATTAGTATTTAATACTGCGAAAATGTGCTTAAAACTATCGACTCAATTTGGGCATTTGGGTCCACTGACTGGTGTCCCCACCACTAGTTGCTTTGGTTCCCACTTCGGCGACGTGCCAACTACAGGTATTGACCAAACTCGTGCAACATCCTGATTTTTATTACATTTGTTCCTCTGGAGGCAGTAGCTTTAGCGTGGAGGCCACCAAGTTGACTAACAAACAGAATTTGCCAGTTTCCTCTAATACACCCCGCACTCCAACCATTGACAACCAATGTCGAGGCAGCTGACTTATCCCTGTTTCTGACAGTAAAAAGTTTCGGATTAAATAAAAATCCCAGCTGCTGCGCGGTATTTGAATCAATTTAACTCTTCGGAGACTGCATACATGTGAAAAAAAACAATATTTCATGAGGTCTGGTCGTTTTCGACTACCAACCCCAAGCGAAAAGATATACCAACCTTCACCTGTGAAAAATATGACTTCTGCGAATGCATTTAAGGAGTAGCAGTTACCGGAAACCTCCCTTATCAGCGCAAAACATTTTGCGATATCCAGCTTGGTGTGTGCAGGAGACCATTAACAAGGCACTCAATATTTACTTGTCCTAACTCGCCAGGCGAGATGAATATATACCTCTTTTGACAGATAAAACAAAATTCATTAGAAGACTAGCTCAAAAGATCAGCTTTCATCATATGTTGAATTACTCGTTGATCACCAGTGAGATAAACCCATTGCCAAATGGACGAGCGACGTGATTTTAATTTTTTGGTAAAATCAATACATGCACTGTTTGTTGGGCGTTCAAAAACGGCTTTATATCACTTGGTCTCAGCTGCACTTTAAATTGAGCCATCATTTTCCAAACGAAAGCGTGAGGAGAAAACGGCAAATCAGCCCGGAATACCCTTCAAATTGGTTTTGTACAACTCTTCTCTGCTGCGATCAGATACAACCATCGTCTTGCTTTGATATGATCGGTTTTCTTTCTTTCGCTTTATGCCTTGATGGAGAAATTTCGTTGAATATGAATTGGACTTATGTTCAAATCGAGCCACTTCCACAAGACATCAACTGAGTCATCGGATTTATGCACCTATTGATTTAGTTGCCTCTCGGCTTCTGTTACATTGCCAAAACCGTTTGAATGTTTTATCCGGTTTGGGTATGGTGACACAAGACGCTTAGACAACGAACCGCACACCTCAAGGTCAACTTGTATGTTTCTTGGACTGTTTTTAGTTCTTTCCGTATTGTAGATAATGCGTGAATAGTTTGTAGCCAAATAATTTATCAATTTATTTAAGTTTGAATATTTTCATTAATTTGCTTACTTACTGTGCACTGAATGAAAAGAGATAAGAAATTTAGAATACATGGGCTTAACTTAGTAAACACTGTCATGGAACAGGAAGCATTTAGTAAAAACAATGAATTCCCATGCTGCTTTGCTTAAAATATTTTCCAAATCTGATCTGTAACTTTCGAACTACTGCAAATTTTATCGCAACGCTCAAGGTCACGCTAATTCAAACGGCGATAGAAGAGAACTAAGAACATAGGAGTGGGAGATAAAATCAGGAATAAATATACTTTACCCGTAACCATCAATATACAAGTAGGATATTCGAGACTGAAATGTAATTCCGAAATGAGAGTGATGTTGCATGAGTTTGATCAACACTTGTAGGTTGGCTGCACGCATGATGAAACGGATACGTTTACTTTGAAACTCTTCGCCTATTTTACCAACAAAACGGTAGGATTCTGACGCGTTCTGTAAAGAGGTAGTTTCAATTTATTCAAGACATGAACAAAATATCTAGTTTATCGTGCATCAAATATTTACAAAACGTCAATACATGTTTCCAATTGCTAGAATATTCTAAAAAATAAAGTCATTTGCTGTTTCGGAAATCCAGGTATCCAAATTAATAATCTGTTGACATGGATCACCACCAGTTCGATGAAAAAATCATCTAAGCCTTTCACCAATTCTCACCAATGTTGAACAAATACAACACCGTCATTAAGAAATCACGGCTCGTTTGTACGGACAGAATTTCGCTCATTAAAAAACGACACGATAAGAAAGAAACTAGAAGAATGGTGTCATAAATTCACAGCATAAATTTCGTCAGAATTCAGCTGTGATCAAACGGAGCGGTGGTGGTCCGGTGGTAACGTCACTAAATGATCACCCGGGGATGTGTTCAAATCCCACCACCATCGCCTGACTTTCCCAATTGTGTGTTAAATGGCAGCCATTTGATTGGCCGCGGCCCGTTCCTGAAAATTTCTTCTCTGTATATTCAATAAAAGGAAGTAAAATGAAAAAGAATGAATCATAACCACAGCGAAATGAACAACAGAACAAGACGTTTGAATATCACTATCATCACCACAACAATCGATTATTATTATTCTGAACATGGAATTCGGGGAAGAAAACACACGGATCAGATTGTTAAAGGTGTAAAACTAATTCTTTGAGTTATTAGCAATTAGGAACCAAGCGATTGTGCCCGCTGAACCGTTCATGGTTGCCTAGATCTCACACGATCATAGATTCAGGACAAAATAGGAACAAGCGTTATGTGGATTTTACCTGCTAAGGTGAACGGAACCATCGAATCAATAGGTTTAAATGATAATGCACTGCTTCTCCGGAGCGAATACACGCACACAGCTACACACAAACATACACGAATATCACTGGAGTCGGAAGACAAAACCAATTCGCACCATCTAACTTTGAACGCAGTTGCTCGGTGTGGCTGAGCCTGAAAAACGCGTCCAGTTGGAGTAGTCTCTGCCTCTAAGATCTCAAGTAACGTGCTTATGTACC